ATCATATATTTAATCAGTGCATTCAGGATTCTGAAGGTACAAACGAATCCACAGTGAGAAGTCATCCTCCTCCTCAGTCCTGTCCTCCCAGCTAGAGATTTTCTCTCTAGAAACAACAATTTTTACCAGTCTCTTGTATAACCGTGAAGTGACAATTTATAGCTAAATAATTGTAGAAATATCCATAAAAACCCAGAGAGAACTGCTTCATTCATTTTAGTGCCTGTGTAGTATTAGTATTGCATTATAGAGTTTGATGCTTAAGGTTACATTCCATCATGTGAAATGGAATTCTTGATAGTATATATTGGTTGATTTAACCTCAGTGTTATTTGTGCTATTTATCAATGGTATATTAATATTTAACCAGCCCTCCACTGATATTTAAAGTGCTTTCTATTTTATGCTATTTCAAACTGCTAAAAAGAATGTGTTATTTGCATATATATATTTGTAGATAAAAAAAGATTTCTAGGTTGAAGTGCATGCACATTTGTAATTTCTTACTCTGTGTACTTAAGGTACACAACCAGTATTGTGATAAATGTGTACATAGAGAAATGGGAACTAGAGTCAAGTAAATTAAGATATGTGTCATCTTGCATAGATATGTGTGGTAAGGCTACCTAAAATCTACTCAGCAAATTTCTAGTTTGCAGTGTATTATCAACTGTTGTCTCAGGTGGCACGGTCCACCTCTAGATGTATTCATCCTATATACCTGTGACTTTATACGTTTGACTTAACCTCTGTTTCTCCTTGACCCCTTCCATTTGTAATTTTGATTGACATTGCTAAACTGTCTTCATTTCCATATCCCTCTTTCACCCTGTCCTCTGCCCTGTTTTAAGTGCAGTGCACTTAAAACATCTCACATTTTTAATTCAGATTTTTAATTTAGGTTTAAAAAGTTTTAGACAGTGTCTGTATCAATTTTAAAAATATTCTTTAGTCCCCTAGAGGTGAAAAGTACTATCCCATGCAGCTGTAATTTCTATTCCTCTATTTCAGTTAAGGTCTGTCATATTTTTTCCCTAAGAGACATTTGTGTTTTCTCTTCTGTAAGCCTGGTGGTTTTTTTAATTTAATTTAATTTAATTTTTATTTTGTGTTCAATTTCATTCTTTCTTTTTAGGGCAGTGCTGGGATGGAACCCAGGGCCTCAATCATGTAGACAAATGCTCTTATCACTGAGCTACACCCCACTCTTATTCTTACGACGGTTGTAGCTCTTTACATTTATAAAAGATCAACTTGTTAGGTTTATAAATTGAAGGTTTTTTCACCTGCCACCCCCGCCCCCATTTTTTAATTATCATCTGTGTTTACGGTAAAGTTTGTTGTAAAACTCTGATGTGTCAGATATTTCAGTCTGGCTTCATGCTATTCACAAGAAGGCTTTCCCCATCTTAAGATCATTGACAAATTTCCCATGTGTTGTTATAGCTTCACTTTTCACAATGTGACGCATTTGATTCATCTAGGATTACTAGAGATTAAAGTTGTGTGAGGTGTACAGTCATCTTTCTTTTTTGTTTTTGCTTGTTGCAGATGGCTGTCTGGTTTTCTCATATTATTTACTGAGCTCACATCTTATCCCTTCATTGCATCACTGATTTCCAGACATATGTATCTTTGACCCATCTCCTGTCTTTGTAATTTGTACCATTGAGATTTCCACAGTGCCTTACCATGTGTATTTAAGTTCGGGAGAAATGATCCCCTTCACCGTTCTTCTTTTTAGAGAGACATCTCATTATTTTTGCACGATTTTACCAT